AGTTTGTTCAGAGTCCCGAATGAGATCACGGACATGACGAGGAGTCTCGAGATGGTCGAGAGATAAAGATTGATATATTGGAAGGTTATATACGGACACCGGAATAGTTTCGAATAGGTTCGGGGATTTTTCGGAGTATCGGGAGGTTACCGGAACCCCCGGGAAAGTTAATGGGCCTCATGGGCCATAGTGGAGAGAGGGAGGCAGGCCACAAGAGGTGGCGCGCGCCTCCCCCCTGCCCAATCCGAATTGGACAAGGGGTGGGGGTGCCCCCCCTTTCCTTCTCCCTCTCCGCTCTTTCCCCTTTCCCCCTCTTCGTTGGAAGGAAGGGGGGCGAAGTGGAGTCCTAGTAGGACTCCCCCCCTTGGCGCGCCTCCTCCTGGCCGGCCACCTCCTCCCCTTTCCTTTATATACGGGGGCGGGGGCACCCCAAAGGCACATCAATTGTTCTCTTAGCCGTGTGCGGTGCTCCCCTCCACAGTTTACTCCTCCGGTCATAGCGTCGTAGTGCTTAGGCAAAGCCCTGCGCGGATCACATCGCCATCACCGTCACCACACTGTCGTGCTGACGGAACTCTCCCTCGACCCTCTACTGGATCAAGAGTTCGAGGGACGTCATTGAGCTGAACATGAGCTGAACACGGAGGAGAAGTACGTAAGTATGTTCGGTACTTGGATCGATTGGATCACGAAGACGTTCGACTACATCAACCGCGTTAACCTAACGCTTCCGCTTTCGGTCTACGAGGGTACATGAACACACTCTTTCCCTCTCGTTGCTATGCATCTCCTAGATAGATCTTACGTGATCGTAGGAATTTTTTTTGAAATTGCATGCTACATTCCCCAACAGGTTTCTTATTGATTTTGGTGTTTCTACTACCGCACGACCCCTCTCTCATCATACAGCACCAACACAATCAGCATTGCTCGAGATCTTGTGAAGCATGAGCTCACCAAACATATTGGTGTGGATGCTTCTTACACGAGATCGCAGGTGTGGGACTAGATGGTGGCTCTTCAATTCGTGCCTTCCGAGCTCCAGCTAGCAGATTTCTTCACGAAGGCACAAAATCGAGCTCAACAAAGCTATTTCTTTCTAAACTCAGTGTTATAGATCCACCCTGAGTTTGAGGGGGGCTGTCAAAGTGTTATGGTGTTGTGTATAGGGTAGTGTAGTTTTCTCCCTTGTATAGGGATTTATTTGCATATGTACATTGTACTTGTCTGCCCTGTTAGGCCCATAGCAATACAAGGTCCATTCATCCATTCGTCTATCTAACAATATCAAATATCTACGAATGAACAAAATGAAAACAATAAACTATATCTCAGCTCCCCACAACCAAACAGATGCAAATAATCAACCTAACCAGAGAAAAGTATTCTTTTGCGTTGTTGGTTCAGCTGCAGAGACAAAGGAGGGAAGGGCAGATAACTATATATGTAAATGAAACCTTCACAAAATTAACACACACACATCTTAGGTATTTGAACCTATAGTGTAAAAAATAGCTACCTAGAACTGGTATAAGCAAGCCAAACAACAATGAATATAATATAATCATATAGCATGTAAACCATGGGGAAATAACACAAAACAATGTGATAAAGATGGAACCGGAGGGACATACCAACGTAGCAATTGGCTGGGAGAGACGTACAAAGTTCTGCTATTCCATGCATTTGACTATAAGAAACTCTAAATTACTACAACTCCGATAGAAAAACTGGACATAAGATTTTTCCCAATTTTAAAATTCAAGAATAGGCATATGAATCAATAAGATACACACATATAAGCAATTCACTTTTTTTTTTTAAATCTGAACTTAGGATTGATTTTTTATACACAATGTATCCAGTCCAGTTCCTACATGCGTACATTAAATTAGTACAACTCCAACAGAAACATTTGAATATTTGTTGCCAGCATATAGTTTCACCCGAAACAAAACCAAGTGGCGTTACTCGTTAGGACCCTGAAAAAACAGCCAGTTTCAATTTTAAACACAGTTCTAAGGGAGGTCTACCTAGGTTGTGCATGCCTGCATAAATCACACAAAGCTATCATCAGAGAAATCTAACTCCCACAAAGCATGCCATTTGATCACGTGACAATGTACATACTAATCGGTTCATTCGACTTTTTTGATGAATCGGTTCATTCGTCACAGCACGTGAATGAATCAACATGTCCATTGGAAGATTAGTTTTAGGACTGCGCCTCTGAACCTACATTGCCTTTAGATTTCTGGAGCTTCATTCGTCCAAAATGAGCTGGACCCAAGATGTGTCTTCACCAGTTATTAGGTTACCATGCTAACCAATAGTAACCAGTTTTGCCACTAAAATAGTTTGTTTTATAACCCCATAGAGAAACCTCGATAACTAAGCCTATTATTTGTAGCACTTCTGGCCAGAGTGTTTGTTTTCCTGCCCCTATCCATGTACACTATGAGCACACATTCTAGTCATGCTTTTCTTAGAGGTAGAACAATAGGTACACATTCTAGTCATGATTCCATAGAAGTAGAACAATACAACCCATTTGCTGCTGACCAATTCTTTGGTTCATGTGGATGCATGTTTGGCTGATAAGGTCACACTTCTGACCATTTTTTTAGATAACGACACTTCTGACCGGTGTGTTTATTTTTCTGCTCCTATCCATGTACACTATGCACTTGCAGTTCCTATACAAGTGGTCTCTAGCTGTGTTGTCGCATTGATTTACTCCAGTTTGCTACCCCAATTTGTAATAGTTTGTCTAGAATGTGTACCCATAACACATTCCTTGCTTTCATTTTCTAAAATAAAAAAATCAAGAAGCCTATTATTAGTAAGAATTAATGGTCTCCCGCAAAAAAGAAGTAAGAATTAGTGGTCAGGATACTCAGTGCATAATATTACGGAATATATTGAGAGACTCACATAAGAAAATTTGCACGAAATGAATAATGGGTGTGCCTATCAAGGCAACACAGATACTATTCTTTTCCTTGTTCAACATTCAACCAAAAGAATAAAAGAAGCATAGTAATGGACATCCTATGAGATCATCTCCAAATGTGGAGGCACTCACCCTTGGTACCGACCTTTGTAGCGGCTATGTTATATCCAAAGAATACTAAGCTAAAATAGGAGGGGAAGGCATGAGAAAATATAAGAACATCTGCACAACAAAAGGAAACTATGGCCCTGTTTGGATTCCTAGGTTAGAGTTAGTTTTAGTTAGTTGGGGATCAAATAACCTAAAAGTATCCAAACATGGTGGGTTAGTTGGATCTAACCCACCCCAAAAACTAGCCCACACTAGAGGTGCTTATTTGGGTTAGTTCTTCTGGGCCCACTAAAAAAATAGTAAAAAAAGTTACCTCTCCCATCCAAATAGGGTCCAAAGTAATCAAATGATTAAGAAAGAATATTTATTGTCAATCTAACCATACCATCCAAACATCTCTTTGGTTAGAGTTAGTTTAGGGTTAATTTAGGGTTAAAATATAACTCTAGCCTCTAACTTAGTTAGAGTATCCAAACAGGGCCTATATGTCAGGAACATACACACAGATAGATGGTATGGCAAAAGAACAACCAAAAAACCTGAAGGGCTGCGACATATTGTGTGTAATGCAGAAGAACAACTGAAAATCCTGATGGCATGGTATAAAAACATGATGAAACAAAACTCAATTTGGTAAACCAATATGTTTTCAAGAAAAACAACCTCTAAAGCAACTCACACCCATACCAATGTCAAACAGATAGCAACACTGTTTCTTAAAAGCCTATGATACTATTCGTATTTACAATATATATGCTCAGATATATAGTAACAAAATTGAATAATTTAAGTACTTGGACAGAGCTGGGTTGCAGCAGAGTGTCATCGATGGTGAAGTGACAAGTTGCAGCAAAGGGCTTCATGGCAAGGCAACAGGCTCAAGCAGAACAGGGGAGTGAACATGCATCTACACAATAAAATTTTAAGCATGGATCTGCAACTAAAGATTGCCCAGATGGAAGAACAATAATTTGGGCAAATGATTGAGCTACACATGAGAATAAGATGATCTAATGAGTGCAAGTAAAAAATTCTTGCATGAACAAAATTGTACATATAGACGGTCCAGCTTCCACACATGAACAAAAATCTACAGATAGACACAGCCCAGCGTGAGCAAAATTCTACAGAGACAAACGATGGCAAAATCAGATCAATTCTTTCATGTGACCATCCATCCAACCTGAAATCTACAACAATATATGGTTATACACCTGGAATTTGATATGTGTTTCCGCTGGAGCAATTCCTACAAAATTAAAGAAGACCACACCAAAACAAATGTAAATCCAGATCTACCTCTCCTTGAACCAAACCAAATCACCAGGGTTTGCTGGGACCATAATAGAGGTAAATGGTTTTATACATTTTGAGTATCACCCAATGTTTCTGGTTGGGATTGACGTTGTACACAAAGATGTAAGCAAGCTGTGTAGCAAAGATGAAAAAATGAAGAGACTGCATGTTGACCTACTCATGATGTAATCCCTCCGTCCAGTGTCAAAAATGTCTTATATTATAGGAAGGAGGGAGTACTTTTCAGCCATTGCTATGGCAAGACAGCACATCAACACCTGAGCAACACAACAAATACCGGAGACCAGCTACAACACAGGTTTAGTTTTAATAAAGAAACATAGTGCTTAGAAATGTTGATTTGAATTTTGAACCTTGTCAGCAAGTGGTCCAGATATGAACCAATTACACAACCAATGCCCATCTTTATTACTAAGAACACACCCAACTATTTTTAGAGAACGACGTGCAATGCTAGAATAGTTATTTACCACCTTCTGTGACTACAGTAAACTTCAAGCACTTTGGACATCTATAAGGTTCATCATCATATCGAATTCAGGGCATTTCACCATTCTTCAATACCAAGTATCCATCTTCATTTGATATGCAGAACTCAGTCACAGCCTGATGGCTGAATTCAGGGCATTTCACCATTCTTCAATACCAAGTGTCCATCTTCATTTGAGATGCAGATCTCAGACACAGCCTGATGGTACTCTTTCTCACTAATTTTTCTCTTTAAGATACTCAGAGCACAATCAAGGATTTCCTGCTTCTTTAATGTTCCATTGGGAACTCTATCACGGAAGAGCTTAATGAGACAATTTCGCACACTAGCCTTCTCCTCGGACTTTTGAACATATAAATCATGGACAGGAACAGCAACAAGACGTATTGAAGCATCAAGCTCTTTACGAGAAAGAGAAACACAAGTTTGTGCAGCATTTGACAGAGCTTGGAATCTTCCTCCATCTTTCCTGTCAGAGGCATATTTTACTGCCAAGTGCCTCAAGTCTCTAACAACGGCCGGAAAGCTGCGAACTTTATTGGCAGTGAAGACACTATCCAAGACAGAGCGCACATGGTTTTCACTTCCTTGAACGAGGCCGTCCTTGGTCTTACCCATTACTGGATCAGGCCCTTTCACAGGAATGTTAGATTTGGTTGAGTTCTTGGTTTTCCTTTGTTCAGTAGCGCTGCATTTCTCTAGGGGGTCAGGCATGGTTGCAGCACGGACCGACCAAGCATTTTCTTGCTCCTTGACTATATGGGAATAACGTTTTATGAAGGATGAATCTGCTGCTACTATAAACTTGTAGTCTTGAAGCTTATCCCTTCTCTTACCCAGCGGATTCAATATCATGTTCCTTGTTCGCTCATCTCTGATCAGTCTCTCCACATACTTCACAGGTATGGATTCCATTTTTGTAAACTCGAGCATAATTTGATCCCTTTTGGAAGCGAGTCCATCATCATACAACAAAGAACTTCGGCAGACCCATAAACCACGCACCAAATCAGCATACACTGGAAGAGTTTCCAGAAGGTCTTCCTCCGAACAGTCTGGAGCAAGATGCATTAGAGCAACAAATCGAGTCACTTGTGACACCTCAGTAAACCATTTCTTCAGGCGCTCTTCCAGTGGCAGTGAAAGCATCTCCCGGATCGCCTGGCTTCTGTTAATATTCTTGCTGCCTGTCGGCCCTCCGGGACACAATGACAATGCATAATCATGTGTGCTCATTGTGAAATCTATAGGCCTGCCCTCGCTTGCTACCATCTCAGCATAGTACTTGCTTGCAACATCACTCCCAGCTGGTTCGTAAGTGAGAGAAATCCATGGCTCAGGTTCTTTAGGGGAGTCCTTGGAACCATCTGGGTGCTGATTTCCCTTAGCGGATGGAACAGCCTTGCTACCAGCACCACCACCATTTGTTTCCACCTGTTGCAAAGGCTGCCTAGTACGCGAAGCACCAGAAATCAGATGCGGCATTGACGGCCGCAGCTGCATCACCGCATCAAGATGATTCAGATGAACCATGTTGCCTCGGAGAACCCCGACGGCATAGTCAGACACATCAGCCGCCTCCGATGATGACAACGTCTGGGTCGTCACCCTCAAAGACCCAGAAACCTCCGGGTCGTAGTTGTCGCTCTGCGTGTCGACCTCCAAGTCCACCTCAACCTTTGAGCTCCCTGGCTTCACGCGCACCTCCTTGCACACCTCACCGAGCTCGTACGGACGCCAGCATGGCCTCAGCGGGTACTGCATGATGTACAGCTTGCTGTCCTTGTCGAAGGGCTTGGGCGTGAAGTAGACGTCGATCTCCCGCACCACGAAGTCCTCGTCCTCGACATCCATGTCATCCGCGCCCTCGCCGGGGCCCACCCTGTCCGCGTCGGTCTCCATCGCGTCCACGCCGCCCTCCGGCAGCGTGGCCGCCGCCGCCGCCGCCGCGGCGTGGGGGTCACCCTCCTCCGGTGTTGGCTCCGGCTCCGGCTCTGGTTTGTGCTTGGGCTTGGGCGCCGGCTTGGCCTTCGGCTTCGGCTTGGGTTTGGGCTTGGGCTTGCCCTTGACGTTGGGTTGGAAGCGGACGGAGGGGGCGGCGGCGGCGGCGGGAGAGGCCGGGGCGTCGAGGGAGGCGAGGTCGGCCATGTCGATGTCGCCGTCGGTCGTCATGGCCCGCCGCTGGCGGCGTGCTGCTAGGGTTGCGCCGCCGAGGGGATTTGGGTGTTCTATTTCTCAGGAAGGAAAGAGGTGTGCGGCAACTCGGGGGAGACGAGCAACCGTCGCAGCTTATTATCCCCGTGCGCTGCTTTGGGCTTGGGCCTGCAGATGCAGAAATGGCAGGCCTGGATGGCAACGCTGGACAACTCCCTCAAAAAATAAAAAAACTTTGCGAGGTTGCCTCAAAAAAAAGAGAAAAAACACACAATTTTGGCTGGTGTACTGCTGCATCCAGCCAACCACGCGGCGCTTTGGTTTGGGCACGTAACACGAACGTGAACGTCCATCGATCTTGACCACATGCTTTCATTCATGGGTAGTACTATCATATAATCAGACGATCGTTGCAAGATCGCGCTGAAAATTCAAGCAGACGGGAACAATAGTACAGCTCTCAAGCTTTCTTCCAGCCATTAGCTTTGCCACGGGTGTTTCAGGTTCCTACTTCTACATCGACACATATAATACTAGTACTATACAATACAAACATTACAACAACAGGTGATTACCGAAAGTCCATCTCTACTACGTACATTCAATCATTCAATCATAGCCGGATGAGCCTGAAGGATGCAGCAAATCTACTCAAGGGGGTCTGTCTCTCCTCCCCCATGCAGCTACAATTCCGCATATCCCGCCCGCGACCCGAGACCCGAGACGCCGCGCGTGAAATTCTAAACACATCAAGTCACATTAACTTAAAATGCAGCTCCATGCCGTAGGAAACCACAACATGGAAGCTCATCAGCCCAAGGGTGCCAGCCAGTCGGTGTGCTCATCTCCTTGTGCTGATCAAGGGGTAGCCCGACGCCCTAATCCGGGCATGCTGCCCCTCTAGCCTCGCTTGCAGTAACTTCGCCTTGAGCGTGTTGTCTTTTGAGCCGAGAGACCGCGCCGGCGAGGACTCGGAGATTTCATGGTCCAGCGACGACCGATGATGATTCTTCAGCTGCCAGGATGGACTGCGCAGGTTGTGCATGTCACCTGTGGTGGCACACTCAGATATCTGGTAGTCCAATGAGGCGCGTTGGTTCTTCAGCTGCCAGGATGGACTACGCAGACCACGCAGGTCACCGGTAGTAGTGCATTCAGATGTTTGGTAGTCCAACGGCGCGCGCTGATGATTCTTCAGCTGCCGGGCTGGACTGTGCAGATTGTGTAGCAGATCGCTTGACGACGCGGCACACTCACGAAACTGGTACGTCCGGGGATGATGATCATGGGGTTTTCGCTCTAGAAATGCATGTTGAGGAGCCTCTGATTTGATCTTCAGCAAGTCATCGTGCAACCGTCGAGAAACTTGGGTCATGACTGTTTCGTTCTGCTCATCTATAGGATCAATTTTGTCACCGTTGCGAGAGCTGATTTCTGGCGCCGAAGTATTCAGCTGTGCTTTGCTGCTTCTTGGCTTTACCTTGCCTTTTTCTGAACAAGGTCTTGCGGATGAGATCCTTGAGCCCTCAACAGACAGACCATCGGAGAACTCCAGCCTTCTCATTGGTGAATACATGCAGTCGGCGACTGTCCGTCGAGTTCCTGCAAGGTCATGAGTCTGCACAGCGTCTCCATGCATGTTCAACTCAAAGCAATGCAAGTCGCTAGCAACAGAATTTTCATCATCTTCAGCTAACCGGGGGGCACTGGTGGCTCCATTTAAGTGCAGAGATTCGAGGGACTGTCGGCACAAGCTTGCATCTCCCTTCTCATTACCAGCATGTTTGTTAACACCGTAGAAGTTGCTTGATCTTCTACCATGAAGGAAACTCCGTATTTCACCGCTCAACCTCTCCGTGATTGAGGTTTTCCCTTCTGAATCTCCCCTGGCATCAGCATTTTGCATCTGTATTCGCTCGTCCAGCCATGCTTCCGAAATATGAACCACCAACTTATCAGTTTTCTGTTCATACTCCTTTACATGCCTTTGCTTTAACACCCTCACTTCCTCTTCGTAGTTTCTGATTCCTAACGCAAACTCGTCGCAGAGATCTTCCAACAGGCGGGTTGCTTTCTGCTCTTTCTCCAGGTCCTTTACAGCCTTGAGAAATGCCGGTTTCATCGCAGACAACTCTTTCCCTAGCTTCCTGTGGAGATTCTCAGAATGTTTCCTCAGATGTCTCTCAGCTTCAAGTTCCTCTTGCAGGGAACAAAGGGTTGCTCTAAGCTTCTCTTGTTCCTTGTTTTTCCGAGCCATTTTGTCTTCAGTGACTTGCCTGGCCAGAGACTCGATTTCATAGTGATATCGCTGCCTCTCTTGCGTAAGCTCTTGAACACGTGCCTGTGTATTCTGCAACTCCGATTTCAATCCCTTAACTGCTGACACATCAACCGCATGCTGTTCTTCCAAACTCCAAATACGATTCAGAACTTTCAATAGTTCTGTTGATGTTTTAAGATTGCAACCTGCATCCCTATATCTGTCCCTGAAATTCAACGACCGAGTAGGACTGACGAGGTTTATGGTAGCAGCCTGTTTAATGAAAGGACAGACAAATACAATTGTGAGAAACATGTTTCCTCCAATGTTTATAGCTGCAAAATACTAAACCAATAACACAACATGTCATCATTGGCGACAGGATAAAAGATGGCATGACCAGTAGCATGCACGATCACACCGGCTACAGAAATAGTATTGGCATTCCAGTCTAGAGATAATAATGCATAATAAGCAACAAACATAATAAGCATGCAAGTCACTCTTGTACAGATTCAAATGCTAAATTTGATTCCATGATGACATGACAACTAAAACACCAAAATTACCAAGAGATGAGTAAAGGGAGGGGATGTGTGTGCATACCCCAATTGAGCTAGTGTAACTTGCAGGAGAAAGAGACTGCCTTGAATGGCATCGATCTTCATGTAACTTTTCATGTTCCATCAATGGTGCTGAAAGATCCCTACCACAGCCGCCTGAAATATGTGGCTGAAATGCGACAGAAGTTATGGAATTCAGAACTCATGGCTTTGTAAAATAACAAAACACTAAGCTGTGAAGCTTACAGCAGAAAACATAATTCTCCATTGGAATTACATTAAGAGATCTCAAAATGCATGGCTTTTGGAACAAAAGAACTTAAGCTTTGGCACCTCAAAGAGAAAGCATTGCTCCCTTTAAGCAAAACTAGTTCAGGAAGCATCATTCATAAAATTCATGATATTCTAGTTGGCATGAGTTTGGTAAATCTGAAACCATTGAATTATGGCACTGATAGCAAAAAATTCTCTTCAGAAATTTATTTACTTAAAATCGCAAGATCCTATTGATTGAGCATGTGCATCACTATAAGAAAAACAGAACATGATCCTACAATAGAACATTGCACCAAACAGTTATACATCCAATGTGATCCGTAAGTACAAGACAAACTGAAAGCCTTAAGTATGGCATGTGTTATGGTGATACGGCATTGTTCAGGCTAATCAGCAAAGGGGGAACAAAACATGCTTCCATAATCTATAACTCCTAAACAGGTCACACCATGGAGGGCAGAAGCCTTTTGGTGTGTGTTTTGTAGACAAATGTGGCTTTATGGTGCTTGGACTTCGAGAGAAAGATAGCAGAACATAAGCTTTTTACCAGTCTTGGACTGCAAGCTCGTATATTCTCTACGCCTCTACTATTTCATTCCGTATATTCTCGTTATGGCCACATGGCTATGCTACTCATTTATTACTGTGACACTTTAGTTTATCTAATACAAGCTGGGTGTTTACCTTTGTCAGGGAAAGAAAATTTAGAAGAACATGAAGGTACAGGTGCATTTTCGTATATATTCTGGGATCATTGCATAGTGGGGAACATTAAGGATAGTTTATCTAATACAAGCTGGGTGTTTTCCCTTTTTTCAGAGAAAGAAAATTTAGAAGAACATGAAGTACAGGTGTGTTTTCGTATATATTCTGGGATCATTACATGGTGGGGAACATTAAGGATAGTTTATCTAATACAAGCTGGATGTTTTCCCTTTTTCAGAGAAAGAAAATTTAGAAGAACATGAAGTACAGGTGTGTTTTCGTATATATTCTGGGATCATTACATAGTGGGGAACATTAAAGATAGTTTATCTAATACAAGGTGGGTGTTTCCCCTTTTTTCAGAGAAAGAAAATTTAGAAGAACATGAAGTACAGGTGTGTTTTCGTATATATTCTAGGATCATTACATAGTAGGGAACATTAAGGTTATAATTACAAGGAGAAAGCATATTCTTCAAGCTCAGATGTATACTAAAACAATTGCCAAGATTTTATGGCAAAGATCCCAACTGATAGAAGATGTGTTTACACCTTTAGAATTGGGATTTTGCTAGGAGAACATCAAGAAAAAGAATCACAATCATCACAGTAATCAACCATGCAAGTCAAATGCAAGGTAGAAATTCACATCAAGTCCATCTCAAAGAACTACGAATACATAGGACTGCTAGAAATATTTGCCAGCTCCTGATTTGTGAATGATCGCCCGGAGGTTTTTCCTTTTAACATTCTATGTCTCTTCCTTAGCTTTTGCATGATCTTAAAATAATCAACCCAAGAACACTCAGAGAACTCGGTGATCCTAAAGAAAATTTCCTAACGAAAAAACCCTCCACCATATACGGTTGATGACATGTTTGATGTTTCAACACCAGTGCATTTCGAACTAATACTGTTACTAGTATTTAGTTGCAGGTTCTATGTGCAAAACATACTCCAAATTCCCCTAGAAGAAGGGCAGTCCAAATTCCATTCTGTTGAGGCAACTGCTGAGTGATAAATTTCAGGGCATTTTATCACTAAGCAGCCAATGCACAAGGGCCAGGGGAGGACCACATTAACCGTATATGTGCCAGAAAATGTGTGCGAGCAAACCCTCAATTGAAAGGAAGGTACAAGTATATACTACTGTGACAGCAGTGGATTGCGGCTTTATTGCACATTACTTCTTGTCTTCTTGACAGTTCAACACCACAAAAGTGGAGAACAAAATACTAGTAAAATCTCAGAGTGATGCTAATCGAACGGTGTGCTTGGTGCTGGATTTTAGGACCTGATCTCCGCCTCGCGAAGAACCGAGCAAGGGGCACATTGCAGTTAGGATTTTCTAGCGCCGAAATAGTAGCTAAATCTCAAGAAGCAACAACATATGATATCTTGCTGTGGCAGAAAGCTAATCTATCCGCCGCACTGACAAGTACACTAGAGAACAATTTCTAACATACTCTGATCCACTGAAAATTCGGCGACAATGACATGATGCCAATGCAGAGTATTGTATGGAGCTAGCAGAAAAGGACTGCAAGGGAAGATAATAACATGCCGCGACAGACTAGCGACGTCACCGACGTTGACCAGGAAAAAGCAGAGAGAGGGAGGTAGCGGAGCCCTCACTCGATCCACGTCGTCGTCGTCGTCGCCGCCGCGGTGAGGGGACGCGGCGGGCCCCCTCCGCGCGCGCCTGCGGATCCGGCGGCCGGCGCCCGCGGCCCTGACGACGTCCTGGATCTCCCACAGCGTGGCGCCCAGCTGGCGCGCGGACGCCCCCGACGAGCTCCTCCTCCCCGCCGCCGCCGCGTCCGCCGGCGGCTCCTCCGGCCGCGGCGGCGACGCCTCGAGCTTCCAGGACGGCGAGGGCGTGGCGCGGCCCGCCCTCCGCCGCGCCCGCGCCGCCGCCAGCTCCCGCCGCAGCGGCGCCGGGGCTGCTTGGTCCTCCTGCGCCTCCCGCGGCCGATTCGGGGTCCCGTGGCCCGGCTGCTCCCCGCCGACGCCGCATTTCCGCGGCACCGCTGCCCCTGCCGCTGCCGGTGGCGGTGGCTCTACCTCCATGGCTGCCGCCTCGCTATCTTGGGCCCCTTCCGCTTCCCCTCCCTTCCCCTGCCTGCTTTTTCTTGCCCTTCCTTGGACTCTCTGACTACGGGGCTGCCATCGTGCCCTGCGTCCTCAGCTTCGCTCCCTTGTGCTGTCTCCCTGCGCACAGTGCTTGCGGCAGTAGGATCCCAGGCAGTAGAGCGGGAGGAATGTATTTTTTTACCGCCGAGGTGTGAAGGGAAAAGCGGTAGCCTGCTCCGGAGAACGGCGGTTGTCAGAGGCGAGGAAATTTTTATTCCACTTGCGGCGCATTGATTGATGATTGAACACTCACTCGCTCGCCACGCCGCGTGTGGCGCTACACGTACTCTACATAGCCTCCGCCGCCCTCACCGCCCCGACGCCTCTCTCGCCACCCAACTCAGGCCAACTCCACTGCCCAACCCCATCCCGTCCGGCGTCGTTCGTTCGGGTTAAAAGGGACAAACTAGACGATCCAGCGCGCGATGGTCTGAACCCATCTAGTTCGTTTTGTGTTCGGATCAACTCATTTCGAACGCAAACATGCGTCGGGTTTGTGTCGAGCAGGACAGCGAATGGGCGCGCGACTCGTTCGCGTCGGAGCCGCGTGGCAGGCGGCCACCTATCTCCAACCCGCCAACATCAATGCGCACGCGCGGGTGGGCTCACCTATCATCCGCCAAGCGAACAGTCACCGTCCTTCTTAAATGGAAAGCCGTGGACCGATCGTCGTCCACACTTCCCACTCCGGCCCCTCTTTGCCCACTCGAAACCCGACACTCCCCAAACCCTAGCTGCTCCCCATCCTTGAACTCGTCGGCCGGCCGCAGCCATGGGGCTATGGAACTACGGCCGCAAAGCGAAGCACGGCCGCGAGGCCGGCTCCTCCTCGGGACGTCGTCGCGGCTCCGTGAAGAAGGATGAGCCCGCATCACCGCCATGCACCTCCAATCGAGTCCCCGCGCTTGCCCCCTTCACCATCGCCGGCGAGCGCGACCGATGGTACCTGGCCGCGGACGTGTGCTGGTGGTAGTGGGAGACAAGGACACCGGTCCCGTGGAGCGACGTGCACCTCCCCAACAATTGGCACCTCTTCGCGGATCGGGTCCCGATCCCACCGGTCCCGATGAGTGGCCGTGCGCGGCGCGATGAGATCGAGTGCCGCCGCCTCCTCCACCCCGACGACCTCTACTACGACGAGAGGTACACCCCCGACTTCGTGTTCTGGGACACGTGGCTCCAGGATGAGCGCGTTGTGCGGCGCGCGTCCTACTTCGTCGACACGGTGTCGGGGCCACGGCGGCCACGACGGGAGGTGCGCGGGTGTAAGCGGGTGCGCGGCCTCACGCCCACGTCGTCGCCTTCCCCGTCTCCGTCACCACCTCCCCCTCCTCGCATGACAGCGGAGGAGGAGGCTCATATCATGGCGTGTGTCATGGAGGACTTCATGCGCACGCACGAGAAGCACCAATGGGAGGGCCTCAAGGAGATGACGGCTCTCTCTGCGGCCGGCGACGTCATCATCCCCGAGCTGAAGATGGCGGCAAAGGAGGAGGTGATGGGGGAACCGTCGGTGGCCTCGTTCAACCCGGACCTGGTGGGCCAGCACTTGAGCTGGCCATGCACGACTCCGGAGACGACGACCGTCGTGGGGGGAGTGGACTGGTGCCCCACGCCGCCGCACTCACCAGAGCGGGACGCCTCTTCGCGAGAGGAGGTGGTGCAGGCACCTGCCACCTTCCATCATGCCGCCCCCGTGCACCACGGACCGCCGGCCCACTTGTGGACGCCGCCGGACTACGTCGATCTCATCAGCGACGACGACGACGACGACACCGGCGGCCACTAAAGACGGCGACGACCACGGCAGGAGTACGCGGACGGCGTTTTTTTATTTATTTTTATGTAAAAATTATGGCACTGGACCGTTTAAGTGAACCGTGAAACTGGGCCGTTTTGTGGCCGTGAGCCCTAAATTATGTTTTAAATTTTTTTAACTGCGTTTATTTACTTTTTAGGCATTTTATTTTATTTTTTGTTTTTTTAATCATGTAACCTTCGAATATGATTT